AAATTTGACACAAGAGGTTATACGATCCTCTTAAAGTTTCAGGATTAACTCATTCACAGGAATAGAAAAACGTTGCTGATTATAATCCCATTCACAGCGTAAGACGTTTAAATCCTGTTTAGACAAGTCCAGCAAAATAACTGGGAGATAATAAAGTAAGATGGAGAAACGAACGGATTCATTATGATAGAAACAACTGACTGATGTACGCGAAACTGTCTGAACTTTCGAATTTGATGTTACCAGTGCAGTTGTGGTTGTGGGTTGTCCAACGCAGATTGCTTTCTATAGTTACACCGTAGATAAGGGATTGTTATTTATCGGGTATGAAGAGCGTGCAAAACTATATAAACATTCAACACGTTTACTTGGGTTTGAGCTTAGCCCCGATGAGGAGGAGAATTACTGAGTTTCGGTGAGGGAGCTTAGATCAGAGGAAGAAGAAATGGGTTAGCACAGCAAAACATCATCTGCATATTTCAAAATACGTACATGAGAAACACAAGGCATAACAAAAATGTAAGTGGAAAATTAGTATTGGGATAGCACAGCTCCTTTAAGAACTCCGGAGTTGTTGACAGAGGGTTTAGATGAAGCTTCCCCAATCTAGTGGTTTTTACTCTATCAGTTAAAATGTTGAATAGCCAAGCTAACACTTAAGGCATTCAAACGATTCCAGTTTCTCATACAACTTTGATAGAGGAATAAAATAAATGCGGAAGAGTAGTCAATAAAAAGACACCAAACAGGCTTAAAATAGTTGTTCAAAGACTTGGTTATAAAATGAATAAGGTTGATGACTGCTTTTGAAGTGAACCTAAAAGGGTTATGAGCAAACGGTAAAGGGCCATTGGGAATGTTTATGGACCGCTGAAGGCGTTTGGAGATAACCTTTTCAGTCAACTTAAGAGCTGAGTAAGGTTAACGCTATGGGGCGAAAACATTTGGAGAGGATAGAAAATTTGGATATTTTGGGGATTTGTATGATTATGACCGGCCGCCAACAGTCTGATATAATAGAGGTGTTTTTGACCGATTTGAATATGGGTGCAAAGTGATTCATTTACAATGCAATTGATTGCTCCAGCTAGGGAATCTCCCCCAAATTTGAAGGGTGCGGGAGGTAAATCATTCAGGCTTGCAAAACAGAACTGACTGCACCAATTTAAGAGTTTTGACACATCAGAATTTGCGTGCCCACTAGGAAAGAAGAGTATCCGACGACTGGTGCAGAAATTCGGCATGGAGATCATCAACATCTAGCTTCTAGCTTACTTTTTTGCTTCCGCAGAGAATTCCAACACCTTGCCACAGATGTTTTCTGTTTTCATTACTCAGAATTCGATGGGGTATTAGTGTGTTTATTCTATTTACTTAAGCTTTGATAAGCCCTGATAACCAAAACACTGTGAGGCATTTATGCACGTTCTTTTATTCGTCGCAGCAACTTTAGTCGTAGAGAGATTATCCTTCCGTCGAATACATATACACACTTTTAACGGGACAGCAGTAATTGCAAATGGCATTGATTTTTTGGGTGAATAAGGCGGCACACTGTAGTAGAGAAGGAGATGATGTAAACCGTAAAAACGAGCCTGTCTGAGAGATTATTCATTGAGGAGAAAAACACTTATGGGTGAGAAGTTGCAAAAACGAAATCTGATGTGGTCTGATTGAGCGAAAAATTTATATGTACAATAGGAATAAACTTTGGGTAGAAATAAGAGTAAACAGTAGTCTCTGAAAGAAATTGGTTCTTTTAGTACTAAAGAAAAAAAGGGTTAGGTGGTTGGTGATTATTCTGTCTTTTGGTAGAATGACCAAGATTTGGTGTACCTAATGATAAAAGAGGATAATTACTAGTAGGGTTAAAGTGACCAACGCTTGTGTTGGGCAATAAAAGGCATAAACGAGTCAAAGAATGATATACGATCTGATTGTGTACAGTAAAGTGCTATATACATGTTAGTGAAAATCGTGTGGGTAATACGATAGGCACTAAATACCTTTTGAGAAGTTCTGAAAAATAACATGGAAGCTGCCACACCAGGAAACGTTGATGCATATCACAGAACCCCTTCCAGTCTTCTTTTCTCCTGTTCCACGATCCTGTCGGTAAACTTGAAAAACCTCTATTGACGTTATATTGTCAGCTATATCCGTATTTAGCCAGGATTATTGTACTCAGACTGCACAGGTGTTCGTATGAATTCTTGATCGGAGAACACCAGTTAAATCCAACATTCTTGAAAATAGGGACCGAGTATTAGTGCTGACCAATGAAGGAACAGTAATTTTGGCAACAAGGGTGCAATTAAGAGCAACCGTCATCCGGCAGGCTTGCGTTTTGGTTCAACGGACAGTGAGAAACTGGAGTAGCACAAGCCGAAGAACTATTAAATGATGTCCTGGTACGTTTGAGACAAATAATATACGCTAATGAGTAGCAAAAACTCTTGATTTTGAGTAAAACTTTGAAAATTCTAACGATCTGACGGAGAGCATGTCGGTGTAACGCAGTCAACCTAAGAGCACGCCTGGTGTGGCTAGAAACCAACGTAGAACATATCTTTATGTTTCGTGTACCAATCAATCTGCAACTTGGAGGTCTTAGTGTGATGCGGAAGCACGTTTA